TTCACATACTTACAAAAGGGGGAGCGGGGGGCGGTGTGGGGCCGGGGGTGGATTTGGGGCCAAAGGTGTAGAAAAGAGGGGCTGTTTCCCTGGACAGCCTGCCTTCCGCTGATGGGCGGGGTGGCAGGGAGAGGCGTACCCCATATCCCCCGCCTTGGGGGCAGACGCTCTATAGGGGGGAGGTGGGGGGGCGTGTGGAGCTCTGGCCTTGGTTCCCCACCCCCCCCTTTCTGGGCAGTCGGAAAAAAGTCTTCACTTATAGGAAGTTTGGCAGTTTCCTTCACCCTAAACATAAAAGTTAAGCAAAAAGTCAGGCCTCTCTGTGCCGGCCAGGGAGGACAGTCGTCTCCAGCAGGCTCTGGGCCCAGGGCCTCACCTTCCCGGAGCAGGGCCTGCCTTCCCTCACTCCCCCTCCCTCTGGCCCTCTGGCACCCTGGCCCCACCCCGGGACGCAGGTTCTGTGTAGCCCGGACAGGGCGCGTGTCCCCAGCACCCCACCCAGACAGCACGCTGCAAAGCCGACGGGTACATGCCACAGGTGGGGAGAAACCCCGACACCGAACCCTAAACCCCCTCCTCCTGCCCAATACTGTTCTAGATTAAAAAATAAAATACAAACCATCGGAGAGCAGCGGTCCCGGGCAGCCCTCGGCAGCACCAGGACTAAAGGACTATGTACAACCATTAGGTGAAATAGTTACATTACAGTCGAACACCGAGAACATTTACAAAAATTGTCAGACTTGCAATTCAGATAAAAATCTGTGAAGAGTCTGTACACTTTTACAGTTTTTGCACTAAGTAAATAAGGCTCTCGGCCTGAGAGCTCACACCCACGCCAAGGGCCACCAGCACCACACGCATGCTGGCCTCCTACGCCCTGCCGTCCAGGCCCTGGGAACCTCCCCCCGTATTGCTAAGAGGCGCTCAGTCCGAGGTTGCTCTACGAGGCATCGAGGCATCGGTGGGGGAGGGGTGGGGAGGAGGGGAGGGCTCACCAGGCAGCGGGGGGATGAGACCGAACCAGAGGACATCACTGGGGCAAGGCCCTGCCTGTGTGGCCACAGGTGGGGGCAGGGCCACAGCCCCCACGGCCTTCCTTCCTGAGGTCTGTGACCCTTAGGGGCCTGCCCTCTCCTCAGCGGCAAGTCTCTGGCCTAACTGAACTGCAGGTTTCATCTAAAAGCCCCTGCCCAGAGGCCAGGATGGGGCGCAGCGTGGTCTGGGCCACCCTTCCCGCACTCGACCTGGTGGGCTCTGTGGTGACCCTGGCCCTGGCTGCGGCAGGAAGGGCTCAGGGCTCTTCCCCAGGGTCTCAGCTTCCTGAGGCCAAGGCAGAGGGGGCGGCTCGGGCAGCTCGCCTAGCCCGGGCTCTGCCGGGGAGGGGGGCAAATGCCCAGCTCTTGCTGGAGACCCCCCAGGGCTGGGGGTGGGACCAGGGAGGGACTGAGACAGACCCAAGCTCCTGACTACCTATGTCCCGCAAGGGGTGGGGATCAGGGAGGGCTGAGAAGCCACAGAACGGCCTAGAGCTGAGGAAAACCGGCCCCAGCTGTGGGATGTGCCCCTCTCCTGTCTGCAGCGCCTGGGTCCTTGGCCGGGGGCCCGGGAAGGGTGAGGAGGAGGCCGGCCGCACACACGGGGCCTGGTGCAGGCCGCTGCTGTCTTGGAGAGGGAGCAAGTCTAACATCCTCCAGGGCCGCTATTTCCCATGCAGTGCGCACGCTCAATTTAAAAGGCCCCTGTGTTCCAGCAAGCGAGCAAGCGGGCTTTTGTTTCTAATGCATACTGTGAAAGGAAAAAAAATCACAGTTATCCACCTTCTCAGGGCCTGCTGGCATTAGAATTTCTTTTAATCATCAATCAGGAAAGATCAGCCTTCCTCTCAGGGTAAGCACCACCAGCTGGCCACTCCCTGCAGGGCCACGGTGCCCTGGTGCACTGGCCCTGGGAGAAGGGCAGGGATCGGGCACAGTGCCATCTGGGCCAACTCTGCCCAGATCTTTGGCTTTAGGGAGCCCTCGGCCTGGGCAAGTGAGAGAGGCTCCAGATCCTCCCCGCAGACACGAGGGCCCAGAAGAGCGGGCCAGGATCCTCACTGGGTCTGTTTGGCAAAATAAGGAAGGAAGGTGGGGGTGGGGGGGGGG